AAGCAAAGCAAAGCAAAGCAAAGCAAAGCAAAGCAAAGCAAAGCAAAACACCATTGGAAATTAAATGAGAGATGCCCTTAGACAATACCATAGAAGAGAGTTGAGCATCTCTAGGATGTGGTATCCCCAGGAAGCTTCTGAAAGCAGGAAAGCTTCTGAAAGCTTCAGATGACTGTAGTTTCTGCTAGACTATGTACAAATAGCACATTTTTATCTTAAGGAGACAATATTCGGAGTTTTTTTTTTTTTGAAGCCTCAGTTTCATTATCATTAGAATAGCCAAGCACCCAGTACATGGCATATCTGGGAAGAAGAGAGAATTTAAGGGGTGGGAGGTGTGTCCACTAGATCAGCCACAAGTAGACATCCAATTTTCAGTTGACTTAGGATTAAACAGAGTTAAGACATTGAAAGGTAAACGGAGCAAGTCTCCTCAAAGAATCAGTACAATGTATTATTAGCATGCAGGATGAGACAATAGAGACCTGGGTTTGTGTCTCAGCTCTCATATTCTGTTTCTGTGAAGTAGATGACAATATTATATTCATAAACATTATGTAGGGGTTTACAGTAGAGTCCAAGGTATTGCTGGACACAACAAACTCTTACAAAATTAAACGTTTGTGGGGACGGTTTTTATCCTATTTGCCAACAACACACAGATAACTGCCTGCCCAGCAGCAAATGGAAGATAGATGCACCCTGTAGACTATGGGTAAATGGAGGAAGTATCTGGAGGCTAAGCTAAAAGGCTACAGGAAGGAACTGAAAACAGGAATGGACACCATGAAGAAGCCATGAAGATAGATATTGCTTAAGAAGAATGTGAGAGAAGATGGCTGCTTTAGAGAATGGATAAAGGCAGGGATGAGGGGGTCAGAGGGCACAGGAGAAGGGGAGGAGCTCTGATGTTAAGCCTCAGCCTAAATCTCCATCATTTTGATTTACTGTGTCCTTTCTCCTGAGCACAGTATACCTTTATTTCCAGGTTCCATTTACCGTTTACTTACGCGCTTGCTTGCTTGTTTGGTCACTGTTGGTTTGTTTGGTGTGTACCTGTGCCTGTATGCTTCCTGGTGTGTATGAATGTGTTGGACAACTTTCAGGAGTTGATTCTCTCCTCCCACTGTATGGGTTCTAGGGATTGAGCTCAGGTTGTCAGGCTCAGCAGCAAGCACCCTTGCACATTGAGCCATCTCTCCAGCCCCTCAGTTTCCTCCCGACAGCTTTTAGACGGATGTGAATGCAAAATGTGACATGATCCAATCTGTCCTGTCAAGCTGGCCAACATTCCTCTTTCCACATGTACCATTTCCTCACTGTGGGTTTATGGATCTGGTACTGGGACTTTTCCAAGTGATCACTGAATTACCTGAGGTGTTCCTGGCTCTCCCTTCTTGTTTACAGTCATCTAAAGATTGAGACCAAGATTTAAAGCATGGCTGACCTCAAGCAGCTCATGGACAATGAGGTGTTGATGGCCTTTGCCTCCTATGCAACGATCATTCTTACCAAGATGATGTTGCTGAGCTCCGCCACCGCATTCCAGAGGGTAACCAACAAGGTAAGGCTTCAGAGATGATTCTTCCTCACTTTTAAGGATTAAAATCTGGAAAACAGCCTTGTCTATTTCCATTCTGACATATGTATGTATGTATGAATGTATGTATGCATGTATGATCTATCATCTATCTATTCTTTCTATTCTACCTATCTATCTATCATCTATCTATCTATCTATCTATCTATCTATCTATCTATCTATCTACATACCTACCTACCTATTAAAGCTCACTCAGTAGCAGGGTGTGCTGTGCTATGCTGTGAACAGAATCTGAAATGGGCTGGCCCAAGTGTTTCCCAGGACACGAGACTGTTTTGCTTGGAGGATGACACCACTGATAATGGCATTGTTAACAATCTCAGGGAAATAAAGCCTGATCTTGAGGGAAACTGAAAGAGACGGGGCAAGTAGCTGTTGAAGCCAACGTGGTCCTCTGTCAATGTGGTCCTCTGACAATGTGGTCCTCTGACAATGTGGTCTTCTGACAATGTGGTCCTCTGACAATGTAGTCCTCTGACAATATGGTCCTCTGTCAATGTGGTCCTCTGACAATGTGGTCCTCTGACAGTGTAGTCCTCTGACAATGTGGTCCTCTGACAATGTGGTCCTCTGACAGTGTGGTCCTCTGACAGTGTGGTCCTCTGACAGTGTGGTCCTTTGACAATGTGGTCCTCTGACAGTGTGGTCCTCTGACAATGTGGTCCTCTGACAATGTGGTCCTCTGACAATATAGTCTTCTGACAATGTGGTCCTCTGACAGTGTGGTCCTCTGACAGTGTGGTCCTCTGACAATATTGTCCTCTGACAATGTGGTCCTCTGACAATGTGGTCCTCTGACAGTGTAGTCCTCTGACAATGTGGTCCCCTGATACAGTGTCACAGAAGGGGAGGCTTAGATAACAGACATATATTCCTCATGACTTTTCAGGGTGGCAAGTCCAAGATCAAGAAGCCAGATCTGATGTCTAGTAAGGGACGGGTTACTGATCTGCATGGGGGCTGTCCTCTCCTTGTCCTATAGTAGTTGAAAGAAAGAGAGGGAAGCAGAGGGTTGGCCCTGCTTCTTCCTATAAAGGCACTGATGCCAGTCATGAGGGAGCCATTGACAGAACCTGATGCAGGGGCTGTGCCCTCAGACACCATCACACTGGGAAGTAGGCTTCAGCTTGTGCATTTTGTGAGGACAGGAATATCAGTGAATAGCAGTAGCTCACTCGGCACTGCCTTCCAACGAAGGATGGGGCTGAGGTGAAAACTCACCTAGGAAACAGGATGTAGCTCAGTGGTTAGGTGTTTGCCTGAGGTGTACAAGGCCCTGACTTCAATTTCTAGTACACTCCCTCCACAATTTAGAAATGTTTAACCCCCAACTTTGGGTACTTTTCATTGTGTTTTGTTTATTTTTTTTTTATTTAAAATTCCTATGTTGGTCATCTAGTGCAGTCCATCCAGTGTGGTCCAGGCACTCGTTAGAGGTTACCATGAGGAACAAGGCGGACAGATCTGACCTCAGGCGCTGACTCCGTATCATGTCTCTGATCAGCACTTCTTGTTAATATCTCTATTAGCAATAAATACTTATTTATTAAGAAAAATATTATAATATTTATGAGATTTTTTTCAAGCTAAAATCAAAACTACTTGTATAGTTTGTGTTTTTCTTTACTATAAATTATTAATCAGTAAAGCCTACTTAAGTATATCTTAAATGCATATTTCAAGTTTCAGGGGATGGGGGAAATAATTTCAAACAGCATAGTAATTATAGGAAGGAATACATGAACAGATGCTCCCAAACGTGGCGACCTTGCTGTTCGCTGGAATGCATTTCGTCTGTGTTATCGTGTTAGTCAACATCAGGGTTTGTGCATTATGAGGAGACAGGGCATTTCCACATGTCCACGACCTCAGAATGCTCTGTCCACCCCTCACTTATTCCTGTTGCTCGCCTGTTCTAATAGCCCTGGGCAGCAAAGGCATTACTTGCTGAGAACGGAGTACCTGGGATGTTGATACATCTGAAGGAAAGTGTGTCAACAGCCTTGTGTAAGGGAGCCAGGGTACTGCGTTATAGTCTGCTGGGGCTGAGGATTTTGTCTCTTTTTGGTTTTACTTCCTTCTTAACTTTATTTTAATCATTTGATTTATCATTTATCATTTGTGTGTGTGTGTGTGTGTGTGTGTGTGTGTGTGTGTGAGAGAGAGAGAGAGAGAGAGAGAGAGAGAGAGAGAGAGAGAGAGAGAGAGATAGGAGAGAGGGGAGAGACAGAGAGAGAGATCATATGTGAGTGTGTGCAGGTGATCTTTTGGGGGTCAGTTCTTTCCTTCTGCTGTGCGTTCTGCACTCACGTGATCAGGCTTGGGCAGCTAGCTCTTTAACCACAGAGCCTTCTTCAGGATTTTTATATCTAGCCTTTGCCAAAGTAAAAGTAAAAATCTTCATGTTGATGAAGATTCAGGTTTAAACCACACTTGTTCCCCCTTCCTCCTTTTGTGTCTGATTTATTGATCAACAATTTGTTTCCATAAGGTTTAACCAGGATGCCTGTTTTCCTTTTATGAAAATTCAAATTACTGGGGCTGGTGATATCGCCTAGTCAGTAAAATGTTTGCTGTACAAACATGATGACCTGAGTTCTGTCTTCAGTATCCGTATTAGCAATGCCAGATATGGTGGAATGACATCATAATCACACCAGGGGGGATGTGGAGTCTGGAGAATCCATGAGGCTTGGTGGCAGACAGGCCAGCCCATGCCGGGAAGCTCTGGGCTACTAAGAGGAGCTGTCTCAAAAATAAGGTTAATAGTATTTTCCAAATGAAGTGAAACTTGAATATTGAAGGCTTCTGTATGTACATGCACCCATGTGTATATGCATCTGTGCCCACATATGCACCTATACAAACATGAGTACACATATACAGAGATCCAAATGCAAACTCGTGAATAGGTGATTATCCCTACTGCTTTGTCATATTTCACAATATTTGGAATTAGGGTGCTCTTTTTGGTTTGTTTATGCTGCTACGTCGATGCTAGTTGAACATAGGGCTTTGAATTCTATCGTTAAGCTTATGCCCAGCACAAATGGGTTATTTTGTTGTTCTTCGTTTTGGTATTTGGAATAGGTTTTTGCCAACCCAGAAGACAGTGCTAGCTTCGGCAAGGGAGAGAATGTCAAGAAGTTTGTTCGGACTGACGAGAAGGTGGAACGCGTGCGCAGGTAAACCGGCGTGTCGGGAAATTCCTCACTCAAGAATCATGGCCATGGAGTCCAGCCAGGACATCAGGATCTTAGAGAAGAAAGGGGGGCAGATTCAGCCATCCTCTGTAGTAGATATGACCAACTCCATAAAGTTAGGCACATAGAGTTCTCCACATGCTGTAACAGTTGCTCCTGTCACCAATTTTCTTATAATTCTAGGCTTTATTGGGGGGGGTTCCACGGCTGTGCTCTGTTTATGGATGCATACAGATGATAGTGTGTGGGAGGCAGAGGACAGGCAGTAGATTCTTGCAGCTGTGTTATTTTTCTCTCAAATTCAGATGATCAGGTCACACAAAAAGTCAAAGAATTTTTGTAGGAGAAAGAAAGTTGAAACTTTTCAGAGAAATAGGAAAATATTTCTTCCTTTTATCCATCCATCCATCCATCCATCCATCCATCCATCCATCCATCCATTCATCTACCTATTCATTCCATCCATCCTCTATCTATCTATCTATCTATCTATCTATCTATCTATCTATCTATCCATATTCCTTTGTCTCTGAATGCCATTTTGTAGCTTTTACATTTAATATGTTGCAAACCCTATGGGCACTAACAAAAGATAAACCAGATTCCATACTCACAGCTCGGCAGTAACATTAATATACTTATTTCCAAAGCACCTGAGACTGTAGGTCTGAAAGCATGTTCTTAATCTTTGTCACAAAGTCATGTAGTGCACCAAGTTTTTATACAGATATTCAATGTGAAATTTAAGCAATAGTTGCCCCACTACTATAACAGGTAGACTATCAGAGCTACATATTGTCTACCCTGTGAATAAATAGTTACTATTTTCTAGTGCTCATATGAGTCGTGGAACAATTTCAATCGTATTTGAGTCAGTGATGTTACAGAGTTCTAAAGCATCAGGGAAGTGTTGTAGGCACTAAGCAGTCCTGTGATGGAGACCGAGGAAAGTAAATGTCATAGGCATTCCGAGAGATCTCCTCAGTTTACAGAGTGTGGCAATGAAATAGAGGGCAAGGAGTTTTCCTTCTGCAAAAGGGACGTGAGACGAAGGCTCTAGATCATGTGACCACCATCCCTTCTTGCTTCTCTGGGAAAGTCTAAAAGCCTCTCGGGAGATCTACAGATTCTCTCAAGCCATGGGTGTATGGTCTCAAGATGAACCCTGTGTTCATGCGCTCATGAACACTTCCAAATTTTCCTTTTTGTTATGTTGGATGAAAAATCAACTCATCCTCCAATTCTTCCAACAAATTGACTGAAATGCTGTGGACTGAGATAGAATGGAATCTGTCGAAGCACACAGGGGTTCTCACTGTGCGTTACAGACATTTATCAAGCAAGAACATTTTTTTCTGTGAAGAGGAAGTGAGTGCTAGATACTTAAAACACTCACTTCCGGCTCTGCGGGTTTCCGTGCTGGGTACTCAGTCCTTTTAAGCAAGCCAGTTCTGAAAACAGGCTGTGCCAAGAATATGCGTTGGAAATAGTTTCAGGACAGAAGAACCAATGTGAGAACGTCAAAGTGTGTCAAGTATTATGATGGGAGACTCAAGTTTAGAGAGAGGCATCGGGCACTTAGGAGACATTAAACCGTTTAAAGCTTTATCTGCTCTTCCTCAGTTTCTCTTTGACAACGCGCAGTTGCATAGTTGATGCTAATCATGACTTTCTACTCATAGCATTGACTAGGACTAGAAAACATTCACAGCATCACCCGTGGTATTATTAGCAAGACGGAGATGAGCATTCAAGCCTTCTACACAGAAGCTTTAAAAAACGGTTTTATTTTGAGACATCAGATTCTCTTTACTATTTATCCCGTCTGCCATCCTTACCCTCTTGTGGATACTTCTAGAGGCGAAATCTATAATCTAGTCTGATGTTCTTCTTTTCAAACTACAAATAAGTGTTACTGACATTTAATGCCTTATCTCTGGGTACCTAGTGGAGGTATAAGGCCAGTGTGCAGCGCGCCCCCTGGTGGTCAGAATCTGAACTTCCAGTGTAGCAATAGGCAACCTTCTACAGATGGGCCAAGGATCCCGTTTTCGGCCACATATTTCTGAATTTTTGAGAATCAATTAAAATACCAATAGCACACAGGTAAAATAATTTCTAAAGGAAAACTTCCATTTTCTATTTTTAAAGGTAGACTTTCCTCCTCATTCTTTCAACATGTAATTTAAAACCTGCTGCTAGTTCCACAGTCAAATGGCAGGGCGCGAGTCTGGCTATCCAAGAAATGGAAGCCGTCCTTGAAGATATTTAGAAAATTAATACATGTGCACATAGGACAATTAGCTCTGACCTTAAAGTAGTATGTGTTGACATGTCAAGAAATGTAACTCAGGGCCAGTTACCTGAGCTCCAAACAGACACAAACTAGTGGTAGTTAGACAGGACTGGACATTGACTTATCTACTTAATCCTGTTTCGCCTTACTCTGAGAGCAATTCAAGACCACAGCATCACAAGATAAATGAAACCTGAAAGGTAGTCAAGAAGGCTAGAAAATAAAGTGGGTTATTCTAAAGAACTTAGGTTTAGTTTTAAGGAAACACAAAGACTCTATGACACACCATTTTCAGAGGTGGAGAACACCCTTCCTGCAGAGTGTTCTGTGCATGCTGACTGTCCAGAGTGAGAATTCTGTCAAGAGACTGAGCCGTGGGTTAGATGATCAACTAGATAATGCCCTCAGTGGCCCCAATTAATGAACAAAGCAGCCGCTGGAAGGTTCTTACATGTTTTTATCTTGGCTCTACTTTCCTTGGGATGTTATCAAAGATCTTCAAAGAAGATATGAGATCAATATACATGTGGTAATCAGACAACACACGAGGAGTGGTCTGTGCCGTGATGGGGTGGTGGGATACAGGAGTATGTCCTTATGTCCTTTAGAAATATTTCATGAAGGAAGAAATGGTGAGAAATCACGTTAATTCAAGAAAACTCCTTGTGAGAATTTCACCATGCAGCTCCATACTGAGAGTCAGGGCCCTGTCTGAGCAGAGGGCTCAGAAATGTGGTTGGACACCCCTCACACACATAATAGTTGATCACGCCTTGGTAATTCATTTAAAACGATCAGGACAATTATAGTCCAGGTCAGGAGGATGCTGAAATTCACTAGAGTCTTAACTGGTGGCCTCCAGAGCGTGTGTGAAGGTCTACCATAGCATGGGGCACCACTCATAAGGGCCGTGGGGAATCAAACTAGGCAGATAGTGACCATTCCTGGGAGGCAGTGTATCATCTACCTGGTAAGAGGGCCCAGGAGCTGCCTATAAATGGTGCTGACAAAATGAACCAGGCAGGTTGGGCAGACTGTCACAACAGAAGAGCTAAGGGAAGAGAGTGTCATCACCAGGGCCTGCTGTGTGCGTGGTGCCTGGGTGAAGTTCACATGTAGCCTGAAAACATGTGGAAAGTGGGACTTTCTGGATAGTAGCAAGTATTTTCTGTGAAGACTTCAGGGAGAGGAATAGGATGAAGAATTAACCTGGAGAGAGAAGAGAGTTAGGATCCCATAATTCCCCACTCTACTTCTTTCTCTCCATCTCTGATTTCCTCACAGTGAGCCTGACACTGTGTTAGTATTGCATTGCTTGGTACCCACTGACTGTAGGCTCAGAAGGAGGCGCTGAAATTGGCTTTAGGGTTTTCCTTTTGTACCTTCTTCCCTGACTTTAAATATTTCTGTCTTATTGAAACACTGGGAAGGAAAACCCTGACATGCTCCTATGTGGAGGTGAAGGGCTGGGAGATGGCTTACTTAGCAGACTGCTTGCCCTGCAAGTACCGGAGTGGAATTTATTCTCCAGAAGCAGAATAAGGAGAGGTGGAGCAAGCTCATCTACTCCTAGCGTTGGGTAGGCAAACACAGGCAGATCCCTGGGGCTCACTGGCCAGTCAGCCTAATGGACCCTGTGGGTTCCAGTCCAGCCAGACACCTTGTCTTCATAAAAAATGTGTGATGGTCTCTGAAAGGCAACAGCAGAGGTTTCCCACTGATCTCTGTGGGCACCAGCATTTACTGTGCACTCATAAGCAGCATTTAAAGAGAATCAAAGCAGGAGTCAGCCCTCCATTCCCTTGGCTTGTTTCATGAGAGAAGTTGGGTGAACATGTATAGATCTCCGGTCTCAGTTTCCTTCTTTATAGCCTTATGTTGTCATGGTTTTTGTCTTGAGCTCTTAGGCAGGAAGAGAAGGAAAGGAGATATCACCCAGAGGTCCTTGTGCATTTACGTCAAAATAGGGCAATAGCATGACAAACAAAACCTTCCATTCTGAGATATGTAGCAATAGTTGTTGACTCTACCAAATTCTAGGCTAGGTTGTAAATCAATTACTCTTACTCATTCTGTGCTTAATAAAGGACACTGAATTTAATAATTAGGCATTTCAAACTTTTCAGGTCAACAGTGAATATACTGTTCATAACACTCCAAGTCAGAGAAGCCTACAGTGCCACAAGCCAGAGGGAAAATTCTGACTGAAACACATTTTCTTTTTTCTTCTAATGATGGTGCACAAATAGACTTTAAGGAATCATATTCTTCTTTCTTTCCCCCCTCTCTCCTCTGTCTTTCTTTCATTCTTTCTGTGGTTGAACATAGAATATCTGAGATGGCACTTATATCTAGGAGGATAGTTCTGTGTTTTATCTGGCTATGAAAGAACATGAGACTTGATGCTGGTTTGCATAAAGAAATTTCTGCGCAACCACTCTGAAACAAAGGAGGAGTTTTGATACAGGTCATAAAAGAAAGAATATTCTTTCTTTGGGAAGAAAAATTTTCATCACAAGAAACTTGAATTGCAAAAATGATATTTGTACTTACAAAAGTGCTGTGTGTTTTTCTAGATAGATGCTATTTAGATATTCCGGGAACAACAAACTGACTTTTCAAGATAAAAAAATTATATCAAAATGAAATGCTCTAAATAGAAACCACGTTAGTAAGGAAGTGAGGGAGCTGGGAAGACAATTGTGATTCTTCCTTGATAATGTAAAGATCCACTAGCTTGCTGGGTGTTGACACCTGAGATCACAGCACTTGTAGACAGACAAAGGAGGACTGTGAGTTTGAGGAGAGTCTGACTACATAGCAAGTTTCAGGCCACCCTTGGATTGACTCCAGCCCAATCCAACCTTACTCAGACATTCATTAAGACTGTATTTTGTTTTGGAAGAGAAGGAAGGATCCATGCATTCTCGCTGATTTTGAAACTCATGATGTCATCTCCTCTCACAGAGCCCACCTGAACGATCTTGAAAACATCGTTCCCTTCCTTGGGATCGGCCTCCTGTACTCCCTGAGCGGACCAGATCTCTCTACAGCCCTCATGCACTTCAGAATCTTTGTCGGTGCTCGGATCTACCATACCATTTCCTACTTGACTCCCCTTCCTCAGCCAAACAGGGGCTTGGCGTTTTTTGTTGGCTATGGAGTTACTTTGTCAATGGCTTACAGGCTGCTGAGGAGCAGACTGTACTTGTAAAGAGAGTTGTGATCTTCACCATCTGATTGTTGTTTTTAAAGAATTCCATATTTCCAAGGCATTCAAATACTTTCTAAGGTTTTATGTATGAAAGGAGCAGAGAAATTAGGAATTGGTGACTATTCAGTTTAAGGACCAGCATCGGTGGTCAGTAGTCTCCATTGTTTTGTATTTGGGTTAGACATTTAATATAATCACCCTTAACTATGTCGTCTAACTTCTAAAGTACTCTGTTACAAGTCTTGATTTTGTCGTCATTTGTGACATTTGTCTACATTTCCTATTGTGCATCTACAAAAGAGTGCTCACACCTACATGAAGCCTGGATTTCCTTATAACTAAAATAGGCACATGAATTAAAAACAGTACAGATGGATTTTGTTGGTTTTTTTCTTTTATTAATGTGTATAAATGGAATGTCTGTGTATGCATGGAGTGTGTGTGCTTGCGGGTATCCCAAGAAGCCCCTGGACCTGAAGTTGTTGGGAACGGGCCTCAACTACTCCTGTAGAGTACTCTACTTGCTGAGCCATCTGTCAAGCCCACGTTTGGTTTTAATTTTACTATTTTCAACAAGAACAAGAACAAGAACAACAACAACGACACAATCTATAGAAAAGTCGAATAACTGAATAGCGAACCTCTCTAAGGCCTTCATGTTGAGTCATTGTTTTTTAACAACTTGTCTCCTATGGTTTGGCCATTTCTCAGGTTGTGTTTTTGGACCATAGGAATGTAGGTTGTAGATCCCAGGCTATATTTTCCTAACCTAGATGTTTCTTCAGTGAAGTAGGCTGCATTTTTTTAATATCCATTTGTAGAAAATAGGAAAAAGGGATATTAAATTTTATATCCTTTGAGATCTGAAAACTATGTATAAATGCAGAACCCACTGAAAGAAAGATAATGTACCCAAGATTGCCTATTTCAGGTTCAAATTTTAAGTAATAGAGGCATGTAAGTTCAGAATAGTTTCTATCTAAATTTTAAATTCACAGGAGAAGCTGTATGTAAAAGTAACATTTATTCTCCAGATGTAATTTTTGTCTTGGATTATCACTGATAAATAAGCTCGCCCTTTCTAATTCTTTCTGTACTCTGGCTGGCTGTTTCAACTCAACCTTTTTTAGTCAAACTCCTCTCCAAGCTGACTGATTCAATCTGACTTCCTTCAGCTTCTCACTAAATTGATTTGCCTGGCCTCAAACTAACTCTGGCAATTTGTTCTAAACTGGATCCTCCTTATTCTCTGACTTTGCTGGCCTGCACTGACCTACATAAACTCAGGAATGGACTCAACTTTACTGTACTGCTCTCATTGCACTGACTCCCAACTCACTGACTCTTTCCCTATACAGCTCTTAAATAGTTGAGGGTATCCTATCTATGACTTATTCTGTCAAATCTTTCTCTGCTTCATCACTTTGTCTGCCCCTCAATTTGATGTCACTTTCAAACATGACTGCTTCCTTCTACAAACTAATTTTCCCTCAAAAGTATATACTAAGTGTGTGCGTGTGTGTGTGTGTGTGTGTGTGTGTGTGTGTGTTCTAGCCAGAGGGATTAAAGATGTGTGCTGTGTCTGCATTCCAGCTTGATCACACAGACTTAAGTCTTTGGATGTGATCCCTTGCCACAGCAGCCATGTTGCTGGGTTAAAAATTCTTCTATAGCTGTTAAGTGTTGAGAGATTTATACAGGAAACTGCTTTTATCTGGAAGGCAGTCTGATGGGGTGTATGTGGATATTTACTGAACTTGTCTTTCCTGCCTCAAGGAATTCCCATCTAGCCAAATGACATCATTTTGTCTACATTTGTGGTTGATGATTTTAAACTGTGGTGAGAAACTAAGAGACTGCACAGTTTACATTAAAATGTAATATATACCTATGAAGAATGCTATAGTGCCAATCAAGAGTGTCCCTGAAAGTTTCATGTGTAAAAGCATTTGTATACTAGGAGGCAGGTCTTGACGAGGAGCTGGAACATTTAGGAAGAGGACTTTCATGGAGGAATGTAAGTTTTGTGGGTATCCCTTGAAGAGAATATTTGGACCCTAACCCCTATCTCTCTTCTTCCCTGGTACTGTGATGTGCACAGAGGAGACTTCTTGGATCTTGCTGACTAGAAAACCAGTATCTTATCTGTGTTGGGTTGTGTAGTCATCTGTCAAAGTATAATTGAACAGCTATGGCCCCCTGTCATTAGAGGAACTTCTTAAAATGCCAAAGAACTACTAAGAACTACATTCATGGTCAAACATTATCTGATTCTATGTCTAGAAGTTTCTCTAGGCAGCAAGCAGAAGAGGAGTTTCTGGCCACCAATGCATTACACTTGCACCCAGAGGATCAGTCCTAGGGGGTCTTGTTTTGCTTCTGTGAACCATTTGTCCAAGGGCTCTATTTTATAATTTAATAAGTGCTTTTTGGGGGGTGTTGCATAGCTGTATCACACTGACGTTTAACCCGTTGCCCTGGGAGTCTCCAACAATCCATTTAGAAAGAGCAACAGAAAAATCCTCTGATCATCTCCCCCCTGCCTGCCTGAAATGTCAGCCCTGTGGGACATTGATAGGTGTTCCTGCTATGAGGGAAAGCATTACTGCTGCCTGTGGGCCTCTCAGGGTCCTTGATTCAGTGTAAATCCCATGTAAACTGTTGGATTTGACAAGGAGGAGTTGTTGAAGGCAGACTACTGGGAAGGGTCGATGTTGGGTTGAATTTGGCACCAATCCCTCATCTGTGACAGCTCAAGTGGAAGATGGGGGATGAGCTATAGGACCCATGAGCCTCCTCAGTCAGCAAATGCAGGCCCAGAGTCACATTTAATTCAGAAAACCTTGACAGTCCTGCATAAAGCGTGAGCTGTAAAAATGGAGAGATTGAGACTGTGTGCATGAGTGAGCCATTATTTCCTTTCACTGGACTTTAGGAAAATACAAAACAGGGCAATATGGACTCTGGTACATCACCAAGAGATTGGCATTAGTGACTTTGGGAAAATATTCCTAGTATATTTATTCCAAGGGCACATGATTTTAATGATTAAAAGTTCAGAGGAAAATTAATGCTGGATAAGAAGATGCCTAAAATTCTACATCATTAAGTTTAAGCTACACATATCTATATCTGTATACAAATAAGATAAACTGTCTACAGTTATTAAAAATGTTGGGCTGGTGAGATGGCTCAGTAGGTTTAGGCACCTACCCGTTAGGCTGATGGCCTGAGTTCATTCCCTGGAACTCATGTAGTAGGAGGAGAAAACAGATTCCAAGTTTTCCTGTGACTGCCACATGTGCACACATGTGTTAAACACGGATGTACACACATGCACAGTAAATATTAAAAACTCTAAACAAGAAAAGTGTTAAGGACAGGAAGTGGCAGTACACATCTGTAATTCCAGTACTTGGGAGGTAGAAATGGGTCGATCTCTGTGAGTTTGGGGCTAGCCTGATTTACAGAGTGAGTTCCAGAACAAGAACTACATAGAAAAACCCTGTCTTGAAAAATAAAACCCCCACCCCCACCAAATGTTAAGTATTGAAAGAGCTTGGAATATGGATGGAATTCTGGGTTTGTGTAGTGCCTTTGTGTCAGCCATGGCCCTGAGACTTTATTGATCCTGAGATATTGTCAAGACATTTAACTGCTTTTGGAACTCTATCTATAACCCTAAACTTATTGGCACAGGGACTGCTGTGTTAGCGGTAGATTGGTACACAACAGTGGCTTTCACAAAGACTTCTGTGTGGTTGAGGGGCTTTGGGTGGATCAGATCCTGTGTCTTCTATGAGCTGCTCGTTGTCCAGGAAGTTGTGTCTGTCTGGGCACATCTACATTTTGGGAATGAGCTAAAGCCAGAATGAGCTGATCCAGAAAGATCTCAAGGAAAACTACTGGAGTCAATTCATTGCTACACGGTGTCTCATCCTCCATGACAGGGCTTGGCAAACTGTGGCCTCTGGGCTAAATCTAGCTATTGATGGTATTTGGAAATGGTGTGTTCTTGAAGCACAGCTGTGTTTATTTATTTTTAATATTTTCTCTAACTACTTTGTTGCCATAGTCACATTATCAAGTAAACTGCTGTGAGGGAAAACTCCCCAGCTCACCAAACAGGCATATTTTCTGTCTGACCATTCATAGCACAAATTGACCCAGTCAGCTGGCCTAGACATTACCATGACCATGACAAAAAAACAAGGGAGGAAATCGAATCCTGTGGCTGCCTTCTAGGAAAACATCTGTTCATCACGCCTGCTAACATACAGATAGACAAAAAAAGTCACATGTCACGAAGTTGACCTCAGAATCAAAGTGCTGAAACTCAAGTTCTCAAGTGAGAGTAACCTCAGCATCACAAGACCCAGGATAGGTATGCACGGAGAAATGATTGATGGGAAAAATAGTTCACGCCCACTCTGTGTGGGCTATGATGCCGTGATGACGTTCAACACAGACATAGTAGAAACATTGTCTAAATTTAAAACTTCATGCTCTGAAAGCAGCCTTTGCTCTAACGTGTCAGTCATCATTCTGTCAGATTAGCTGTAACCCATGGTAAACTCGGTGTGATAACAATGGTTACAACTAAGCTTGAAAAATGTGAGCATATGAATTTGGCCTTCTCCTTCTCGTTTGCAGCATGCTGGCTTAGGAAGACAGATGGGATAAGAACAAATATTTGGATAGCCTTCTCGCCTCTATAACCAAGTTGGTTCCCAAACTGTGCCCCCCGTCTGTTCTCTAGAAATTATAATCTGCACCCTGCTCCCAATGAAGTACTTCATAAAATTTAATGCTTTCTACTATTGGTGCAGTTAATGGAGATCAGAGAATATCACTGGCTTAAATGTGACTGACCATGTTGGTGTTTGCTGAAGTGATTGCTACTAGTCCATGACTTAAATTAATCATGAAAACAAATGCTACATTAAATGTTTGTGATATTCAATCTATAAGCTTAATAGCTAATGGGATATTTTTTTTCCTCTTACAATTTATCCTTTGTAACATTATATTTAGAGGTTGGATCCAAGAATTTATTCTAATGATGCCTTTCTCACTGACCTACCTTAACACCAGACAAATCCCTTCAATCCCTCTTCAGTATTTCACATTTAAATTAAGACAGTGAAGTGGATGATTGAAAGAATCCATGACTGAAAATTCTGTTTGTTCTGGAGGCAGATGTTCTGCTCATTTCTAGTGATAGAGTGTGTGCACCAATGTACAGGAGTGATTACGCTAGAAAACCCGTTACCTCATTAATGGGGTCAAAGACAATTGGTGAACTAAATAGCATTTTGTGGGTTTCACGTCTTAGGATAATAATGCTTAAATTAATTTTCCCAGAGTCACTAATGT